AAAAAAAAAGACCAGCCTGGCCAATATAGTGAAACCCTATCTCTACTACAAACACAAAAGTTAGCCAGGGGTGGTGGCACATGCCTGTAATCCCAGCTACTTGAGAGTCTGAGGCAGGAGAATCACCTGAACCCAGGAAGTAGAGGTTGCTGTGAGCCGAGATTGCACAATTGCACTCCACCCTGGGCGACAGAGTAAGACTCTGTCTCAAACAAAAAACAGAAACATAATCATACAACAATGTTAGAAGAGTTATTCCCTCTCTTTAAATGCTGAATCATTTAATTCAACTTAAAAATATCCACCAAACATTAAAGGTGAATATATGAAGAAAAAGAACTGTACTTACCTGGGCCACTCAACATGGCTTTTATTGTGCCTGATGTTAATGCATGTTCTCTTTTTACAATAAATTCATGGCCATCAGATGATATCAATTTGACATACATGGCATCGGGTCCTTCACAGCCACCATAGGTTTTCTCCTCTCCATCTAAAGTAAAGTAAGTAGTGAAACAATTTTTGAATAACACAATGCTATTAAAAATAAATAGGTTTGGGCAGGTGTGGTGGCTCATGCCTGCAATCTCAGCACTTCGGGAGTCTGAGGCAGATGATCGCCTGAGGTGAGGAGTTTAAGAGCAACCTAGTCAACATGGTGAAACCCCTGTCTCTACTAAAAATGCGAAAATTAGCTGTGCGTGGTGGTGCATGCCTGTAGTCCCAGCTACTTGGGAGGTTGTGTGAGGCAGGACAATCGCTTGAACCTGGGAGACAGAGGTTGCAGTGAGCTGAGATGATGCCACTGCACTCCAGCCTGGGCGACAGAGCAAGACCCTGTATCAAAAAATAAAATAAAATAAAAAATAAACAGGATTATTACTGAGGTTAACGTGGAGAACTCAGACCAGAAACATTTCTGGAAGGTAGTAGTCACCAAGACTTTGACAGGTTTAACTCCCTGTTTTATAATTCTCCAAGCATCTTCCAATGGCAGAATAAACTGTAGATTTAAGAATGCTACTTCAGCCGGGCGCGGTGGCTCAAGCCTGTAATCCCAGCACTTAGGGAGGCCGAGGCGGGTGGATCACGAGGTCAAGAGATCGAGACCATCCTGGTCAACATGGTGAAACCC